CCTCTTCGAAGTCATCCAATTGTTCCAATCGGTGACGAACTTTGTCCGCAACCGACGTATTCGCAGAACTCCTCACAACAGAAGTGCTGCCACTTATGGCCGAACCCGAGGCGCCGACCATCAGAAAAGATGTCTTAATTGACAGTCTCTCAGAAGTGGTGTATTTGTTAAGTATTGAAGTCTTGGTCGACGACCAGTCCTCGAAGTCTTCGCCAATAAAGTCAGCCGTCGTCTGATTGTCTTTCGACGAAGACTTTGCATTTTTATCCATTTCTAGCGATGAATCCAATGAATTGCTTTCTGTCGTGTTTTGAAGGCTTAAAGCCATCGAAAGCGGATCCAAACCATTCCAAGAAGTGTTGGTCGGCTTCGCGTCATTAGTTTTGGTGACCGCCGAAGAGTTGTCTACTTTTAATCTCTTGGTCTCCGTTTGGTTAACCACTAATGGCTTCAATGGATGATCGGTCGCCTCTTTGGCCGTACAGTACTTCCCGAGAAGTTCTGTCTTATAGTTGCGCTCTTTTGGGAACCTTTTGGACAATAAATGGGATATTAATTGAAGTTTTTGTCAAAACATTTGTTAATTAAATACCAATTCATTGTTGACTTGTATTGAAAACAATTGTAAACAACAATCAATTGATTAATAAGCGAAAGACAATCACATTGAGTGCAGTGTCACTGTCACTGACAGAGGATCGGGTCCAGTAGATCCAGTAGATAGCATGTGATCAATCAAATAGTAGGTGTGTGCACTATGGTGATCTTGCTCATTTGCATTGCACCTTCAAAAGCGCACGGTTTGAATGTTTACGCAATGTATTCGCTTAACATTACATAACGTTTCGTTACATAAGAGTTGAACACTATTGTGATTGTGTTTAAAAAACTAATTGCCCTCAACTTTAACCACCGGTTACTCGCAATTAACAATCACTCGTTCACTACATCTCTATTTGTATAGATTTGAGTCCATTTTGACAACATTTTGAAGTTTCAAAGTTGTGGACTTGAGTCAAAACAT